CGCCTGCAGCAGCGCCGCGACGAGAGCGAGCAGCTGCTGCTTTGGGGCGCCGTCGCCGTCCTCGTCGCTCTTCTCGGCCTCGATGCGGAGGCCGAGGAACCAAAAGATGTCGGCCAGGTCCGACTGCACCCGCGGCAGCAGCGCCCGGTCGACCAGCGCCGCGTCCGAGAGCACCGTCACGAGCCGCTCCGGCTCGAGCGCGCCGCGCACGACGGCGGAGGAGAGGTCGTGCAGGACCACCTTGAGCGGGTTGGGCGCGGACGGGTCGGCCGGCGACGCCGCCGCCTCAGAGATGGCCGCGGCGCAGCCCTCGTCGCTCCAGTTGTCGAGCAGCGACTGCGACATGGTGTGCCAGCGTGTGCGCTGAAAAGAAGAATTTTTACCCCCTCGAAAAGAAGAAAAGGAAAAAAGAGTGAGGCTGAGCACGTGAGCCCCGTGGCTCGAAGCGGTTCCTTTTTTGAGCAGCGGCGATGTATTCTTTTTTTGCTGGCCCGTACGTCATGACGGGGTAGGTAGGGTAGGTCTGGGCCCTCCCGTCGGGTTTTTCCCTCTCTTCACGCTGGAATTTTCAGAAAAAGAAAATTTCCGCGAAAATCACGATGTACGGGCCAGCAAGATGCCGCGCTCCTCGCACACGGCCACCAGCCTGCCGGATCGCCGCTGCACGGGGCTAGGCACCAGAAGATGAGTGGAATTGATGAATTGGGCCGTCGTCCGTGCCTCCCCTCTATACGTCAGAGTGGGACCTACGCCGCGCCGGGTAAGGGGCGCGCCCGGTCCTCGACGGAGCCGCGCGCCCCAAACGACCCAGGCGGCGAGTAGTCGTCCTCGAACCTTCGACATGTAGTTGCCCATAGTTAGCGCCCGCCCGCCCCCCCTTCTGTCGCTTCGCAAACGAAAAAACAAAATAAAACCAGGCAAAAGAGAAAGCGAGGCCAAAAAACGATTGCGTAAACGGCGTCACAAAGCCCGCCGGTTTTGATCGACAATCGTGAGATTGACCGCCGTCGACCAGAGAATCGACGGCAGCATGCAGACGATGTGCCAGCTTGCACGGCGCTCGCGCCGCGCCGGCTGGCTCATCGAGAGCGCTCTCTGGCGCCATCCGGGCCACGCGCGGCGCCGCGCGTGCCTCGCGCCACTCGCCTCGGCTGGCAGCACAGCGCCAAAGCCGCCTCGCAAACACCGCGCACAGCACCAGCATGCTGCCCACCAGGCAGCAGAGTGCTGCACCGGCGTGCAGCGGATGCTGCGGCGCTGCGGCGCTGCCTCCCCGCCCTGTCCACGGAGCAGGCGAGCGGCGGCACGGCCTTCCACCAGCTGCAGGAGGTGCGCACTTCCAAAAGGAAGCACCAGATGCACCTTCAGCACACGCAGCTTTGCGCAGCGCAGCGCACGGGCTACGCCACGCAAAGCCGACCCTCAGTCTGGCCAAGAGGCTGTCTGCGGAAGGCCTGGCAGCGCGTACTCGCCTCCTCCGCGGCCATGCCCTCCGCCCGGGCGAGCGAGGAGCGGGGACACAACCATTTCTGGAATCGTGTGTCCCCGACATTTCTTTTTCGTTGTCAGAACAGCAGAACTTGGAGTCGAAGTTGAAAGTTGAAGTTTGTGTCAGAACGGGACCAAGTTTGTGTCAGAACAGGGCCTACGCCTCAACGTGAGATTGTCGCCTTGTGGGAGGATGTGCTGTGTGTGACTGTGTGCGTGTGTGTGTTGAGTCCGTCCGTCCGTCCGTGGCTCGGTCGTCGGAGGGAGGGAGACTTCAAGACAGAGAGAGGGAAGGAGCAGAGGCAACTGGGAATGTCAGAGCCCCTGAGCTGTGAAGAGAGGGGAGGATTTTGCGCTGTCAGAACACTGTCAGAACGTTGTCAGAACACTGTCAGAACGCTGTCAGAACGCTGTCAGAACGGCCAGGTCTCTGTCAGAACAGGTGTGGGAGCTCCACAAACCAGGTTAAAGGATATCCACCTCGAGAACCTCGAGAGAA